TGAATCTTGGCTCTGGAGAGATGGCCCAGCAGTTAAGAGAGTATACTTCTCTTGGAGGGGGACTCTGCTTCAGTTCCCGGCACCCACATTGGGTGACTCCCAACCAGTTGTCACCCCAGCTCTGGGGGATCCTCTGGACCTGCACTCCCATATACTTATGCTTCCCTCCTAACACATACACAGACACACATACATATAAACACAAAATAAAATGCATTTTTAATACAAAACTCATATTTTTTTCCATTAGAATATTTTTAAACTCTGGGATGCTTTTTATACAGTATGAAAAAGTAGTTAAAAGTTATGTATAGTTTTTAAAAAGCTAACCACTTTAACTATTTTAGAGTGTACATTTCAGAGACATTAGGCACTTTCACAGTATTTCACAATTACTACCACCATCTCCTTCCAAACCTTTTTTCACCCCGCCCAGATCAAACGCCATATTCATTAACCAGTCACTGCCCATTGCTTCCTTCGCTGGTGCTGGGCAACAGCTGAGTTGCCCTCCGTCCTCATAGCTTTGCTCTTCCTGGTTATTCCCTACGAATGGGACCATTTGGTGTCTGTTCCTTTGTGTCGGGGAGTCTTTTTGTCGGTACAGTCTTGCACAGTTCACCCAGGTGGGTGCACGTGATCTGTACAAACTAAACGGAATGATGTCCAGTGGGATACAGGAAAGAGTGGCATGATACTCCACTGTATGCGCATGCCACACTTAGTTTATGGATTCATCAGTCGGCGGGCATTTGGGCTGTTGCCATCTTTGGGCTTTGTAAGTTTGTGCACATTCACATCTCGGTGTTTGCTGAATACTTGTTATAATTCTTTGAGTACATATCCAGACATTAAGTGAAATTACGGAGTTGTCAGCAGGCAACTTGTGTGTTTAATTTTCTGAGGAATGGCCAGAGTATTTCCCCCACGGTGGCTTTGCTGCATTCCACATTTGCTCAGCAGTGCATGGGAGTTCCAGTATCTCCGGATCCTCACAAACGCTTCTTATATTCTCGTTTTCTCTTACCCCCTCTATAGCCATTCTGGTGGGGTTGAGATGCTTGGTGTTTCAGTCTGTAATTCTTTAGTGACTCAAGCTCTATTTGGGTTCTTTACCCCTGTCAGCATGATCTGTACTGGCAGTTGCTAGATTCAGTCAGCATTTTTATGATTTCATGATTTTTGTTTGATTCCTATGAGACCACATTTGTGTGTGTGTGTGAACAAATGTATATGTGTGTGCACATGCATGCGTGTGTGTGTGTGTGTGTGTGTGCGTGCGTGTGTGTGTGTGTGTGTGTGTGTGTGTGTGTGTGTGTGCACTTACATGAAATGCTTGGAAAGATGTCACTCTGTGTCTTGTGGAACAGAATTCTCATTGGGTGACATCAGAACTCTTTTCATGTAGAAAAAAAGTACAACACATTCTTCAGAGTCTGTATTTTTAAATAGAAAGCTTTAAATTATAGGGGTAAATTCCAGGAAAAAAATAACTGGAATCTTTTTTACAGAATATTTTATATGGATTCTTTGACAGTTTCATACATATAAACAATATACTTTGACCAGATCCATCCTCAATTCCCCTTCCCACTCTTAAACCTCCCTCGAATATATCCCCCCTCCAACCTTCATGTTCATTGTCTTTTTGTTTTAATCATCCACTGATTTCCGTTAGCACCTCCCACACGTGCATGGGTGTGGGGCCAGCAGCCAGAGCATGAGCAATATATTAGCAGCCACACCCCCAAAGGAAAATGGCCGTCCCTCCCTGAGCAGCCATCAACTGGCATTGTATCTTCTCAGCTGGGGTGAGACTCGGTGAGCTGTCTCCCTTCCTTTCTAAATTTGGACTGGCTTGGTTTTGTGCAGATAACCATAGCTGCTGCCAGTTCATAAGTGCAGTGGTCATGTGATATCATAGCACTCCCCAACAGTCATGTGATGTCACAACATTCCTCCCCATTCTCCCACTATTGCAGTCTTTCTGCCCCTTCTTCTGTGATGTCCCCGGAGTCTTGAGGAGATTGATAGAGATGTCCTGTTGGGGGCTGACACTCAGTAGGCACTTATTCTCAGCACTTTGACTGGTTACAAGTCCACACTGAATGCTACCCACTGCAAAAAGAGACTTCTCTAGCTAAGGTTGAGAACACCACTATTCTATGGGCATAAACAAAAATATTGAGAAGGCAGTTTGACAACATGTCAGTTTAGCAAAAAAAAAAAAAAAAAAAAAAGTTGTGCTTGGTTCCCAGCTAGGGCTTATGACTTTCACAGTCATGGCTTTTGAACCGGTTTACAATGCCAGGCACAGATTCCCACCCATGGAACAGGCCTCAGAAAGTAGTTGGTTGCTAACATCCATGCCATTATTGCACTGGTGGACACATCTTGCCTGGCTTCATTACAGCAGGTATTATAATAGTATGCAGAGTCCAGTGCTGGACCATTGATGGTTTAATCCCATTGATGTGTTTTCTCCCCCAGCATCCTCCTTCTAGCATTTTGAAATCTGACCAGCAGGGAAAACATTTCCATGAAATCAGTTTCTTTTTATTTGTATTCATTTTTCACAAGAACATCAAAAACTGCAGTAAGCAATTTTGCTCTCTGATTTTTCACACGCATTAAAAAATTAAAATTCCACTCAACCTTCTGATCCCCCGGCTCATTGGCCCACCTGTGGGCAGCACACACCGAACAGTGAAGAGTTTATGAAAATGTTTGTCACTTTCGGTTCTTCTTTATTAACGGACTGTTATAAATACAGTAGATTTCCCCCCTAATAACAGTTCTGGAAACTCTACAGCATTTTAAAATGTTGTCAGTTCAATCCCTGTAAGTGGTTCTGTCTAGAGGTCTCTTTGAGAGTGCTGGGTCCTTTTCTAGATTTCACTATGTGAGATCCGTTGGTGGAAATTCCCTACTGACCTTCCCTTTTCTGCCCCATTGTGTGGTGCAGGGAGGGATCCTTGGTACTTAGCAATTATCAGAATGGCCCAAAAGCTTTAAACAAACAAACAAAAACAAACAAAACACACCTCCCTACCTTAGCTCCCAAACTCCCCACATTCCACAGAATCCAAGACAACAAGGCAGAAAATCTAAATGTAGAAGATGGGAGACAGTGTGTGGGTTAATAAGGGGTCACACGACTTTGACTCTGCATTTAGATATGTTGAACCACAAGTTCCTTGGCAAAATAATTGAATTCGCTTCTTCAGTTCCCTCACTTGTAAAATAGAAATGATAAGCATCTACTTAGCTCCTTCCGTGGTTGCAAGAAACAAAAGTGAGCCTCATGTGGACATGCATAGTCCGATGTGCAGTGCACAGGTGTGGTCGGAGGGTGAGCCTACCCACGTGGACATGCATAGTCAGGTGTGTGGTGCCCAGGTGTGGTGGTGGTGGGGGTGGGGGTGGGGGTGGACCTACCCACGTGGACATGCATAGTCAGGTGTGTAGCGCACAGGTGTGGTCGGGGGTGGGCCTACCCACCTTTCTTTCACACGTGAGGTGTCACTCTGAGTAGGACCTTTTGCTAGAGTGTTAGTTTCTGAGCATGTGCGTTTGCTGGGTTTGGCTTAAGCAGTTGTGAGCTGTGCTCAGAGGGTAAGAAAGATAGAGTCTAGTGTAGGATGTAGGGTATGTATCGAACTTTTTGCTGGAGAATGAGTATGACCTCACAGACTGGATATCTTTGCATTTCCTGCTCTTATGTCCAGGACAGTGGACCTGGAGGGATTTAGAATGATACACACACACACACACACACACACACACACACACACACACACCTCTGTGTTTGGTAAATACCCATGCAAAATGGAAGATACTTGTTTTCTGTGGCAGTGGTCACCAATACACTAGACATTTCCTTAGCAACGTGACAAGAAGAAATAATAAATACATACTAGACGTTTCAGCCAGTGGCTGGTTTTCTGTGACTGTACAAAAGGGAAGGGAAACAAAGCATGGAACACATCACTGTCGCATAAATCTTCACCTTTGACCTTACAATACACTCCTGTTCTTCCAGACCATGCAAGACTCTGAATTCCTTCCTGCATAGATTGTCAGAATTAGGGACCCAATGGGGCAGTGGGATTTTTTCTTTGATTTCAGTTTTCTTCAAATATGTGTGCGTGTTATGTGTGCATGCTCATATGTCTGTAATTGTGCATGTTTGATATTGGCTCTCCACCTTATTTTTTGAGACAGTATCTCTCCCTGAACCTGGAGTCTACTGATTGAGCAAGGTTAGTTGGCCAGCATGCTCCAGGGGTCTTCTGGTCTCTACTTCTCTAGCTTGAGGATTGTAGGCTGTGCTGGATAGATTAATGTCAACTTGACACAAGCTAAAAGTCATCTGAGAAGAGGGGACATCAATTAAGAAAGTGTATCCATAAGATCTGGCTGTAGGCAAGCCTGTAGGGCATTTTATTAATTAGTGATTGATGGGGGAGGACCCAGCCCATTGTGGGTGGTGCCACCAGTGGGCTGGTGGTCCTGGGTTCTAGAAGAAAGCAGGCTGAGCAAGCCATGTGGAGCAAGCCAATAAGCAGCACCCCTCCATGGCCTCTGTATCATCTCCTGCCTCCAGGTTCCTGCCCTGTTTGAGTTCCTGTCCTTGACTTCCTTCATTGATGAAAAGTGATATGGAAGCATGAGCCAAATAAACCTTTTCCTCCCAAATTGCTTTGGTCATGGTGTTTCATCATGGCAGTAGTCACCCTAACCAAGACACAGGCACACATGACACCTGGCTTTTTACGTGGGTGCTTGAACTTGGGTCTTCATGCTCTTTACTGGTGGATCCACCTTCCCAGGCCATGGGCTTGTTTTACAGTTGACCTCATTACAGACCCTCACAAACTCAGTGTTGCTTAGTTGTGGAATTTAGCACTGAAACTTCACCAGCCCATGCTGTCCTCAGCCAAGCCCACAACTTCAGTTTTTACTTAACTTCTATCCCCCCAACCCCCATCTCATTTCAGGAAAAGAAGATTTTCCAGATCCCCTGGATGCATGCAGCTAGACATGGGTGGGATGTGGAGAAGGATGCCCCACTCTTCAGAAACTGGGCGATCCATACAGGTACTAACCCTTGGCTTGCTTATTTACACAGATGCCATTGTTGACTTTTGCTTTTGTTACACAAACACCCTGCCTTATGACCTCAGAAGATAGCTCTGAAATCCCGTGACTTGTCCCCAGGTACATCTAGGGGATGTATGAGGAGTAGAGACAGCATCACTCAGAAGTGATGTCCCCACCCATCCTAGAGGTTCCCAGACTTTAAATTTCCCATAGATGTGGTATTCTCATAAGTTCCTAAGGGTTACTAGGGGAACTTTAGCACTACTAACTTATAGTCATACATTTATTTATTACAAAATTTCTGCAGGGAGCTATCTTTAGAAGTGGACTTTTTACTTACACTTGAAGCTAGTTAATTCTGCTTGTTGGCTTTCTAGACTTATCTGTGGTTTGATTCTTCATCTACCATTTTATTTTTCCCCTCAAATATGGATGGTAGAACCAGAGAGACCAGCTTGTCCAAGTGTGGTCTCTGTTGTCTAGGTTTTTAAAATAAAATGCCTGTACCTTAGAAATACCTCAGCTTCCGGTAAAGCAGGATCGTTAGTCATCTTTAGACAGAGGCTTTTTGCTCTCTGTCTCTCTCGGTACTGTTTTGGACCTCCTCCCCTGTGTCTAATGCCCTCTCTCTTTTTCTTTATCTTTGGCTATTTTGCTAGGAAAGCATCAACCAGGAGTAGATAAACCTGATCCAAAAACATGGAAAGCGAATTTTCGGTGTGCCATGAATTCCTTGCCTGATATCGAAGAAGTGAAAGACAGAAGTATAAAGAAAGGGAACAATGCCTTCAGAGTGTACCGGATGCTGCCCTTATCCGAACGCCCTTCTAAAAAAGGTAAAGCCCTCTACAGATTAAAGAAATGATCCCTCACTGTAGACCATGGTGCCCTTTTAGACTCTTCATTTCTGCCTCTGTCGTCACTTTGAAGGGTAGAATACTTGTTCATCTTAGAGGTGGTAATTCCACCTTCACTTGCCTTGGGAAAATGACTTTCAAGGCACCAAAGGCAAAAAGATTTGTGCTTCCGATCTTGTATAGCTGAGGCAGTGGGTTTCAGAAAGAATTTAGTGGAGGAAAGCCCATCTTGCTCTGTCCTTCGTGAACTGATCCAGAACTACCTTTTTGTTGCCACAGGAAAGAAACCAAAGACGGAAAAAGAAGAGCGAGTTAAGCACATCAAGGTAATAATAGTCTTTGGTTGTTTAGAAAGCCCATATTGGGACCGTGCATTAATGAGTCGTAGTCTGTCTCATCAGAGCAGTAGCAGGACCTTTGTGCAGGCCTTACCCTTTCCCCTCTTCCTATTATGTTTCATGTGCTATTTATATTTCTTCCTCTGCATGTACCCACTTGCAGACACAAGTCCACATAGGCTTTGCTCACACCAGTGTTCCAGAGAAAAGTGCAAATGGTGTAACAGATTCGCAGAGCTTGACGGTCACCTCTCCTTACCTGTCACTCAGCCCCAACCAAGCTCCAGCAACCAACTTAGGTCTCATACTGTGAAATATGCTTTCAGGCTATGAAATATTTTGAAAACTATCGTAATTATTGCATATGTCTGTTAAGAAGTCTTAACTATCTTTCTGTCTGTTCTGTCATAAGCCATTAGCTTGGGAACACAGTAGTTCAGACACTCTTATTAGTGTGAGTCTCAATGTTCTTTTCTGTTCTGTGATTGAATGAGTTCCAAGAATTCTCTATGGGGATGGGTCTATGTGCTTGAGGTTTTCAGTCGGCTAAGTGGTCTGACCACCCCTACATTTCAATTATCTTAGCTCATAGAAGGTATAGCCCCTATTAAATAGTGAGAGAGACGTCAAACCCTGTGCCTAACTTGGGAGCCCATCTGTTGTTATGCAAAGGGCAGACAGTACAGTTAGAGACCCAGAGACCATCCTGGAGATGATAGAGGTCACTGGCTTCTGTGTGTAGGGGAAGGGACTGACGGATAAAAGTCAAGTGGCTTGTGTGCAAGGTCCCATGGGTCCTTAGAACTGAGCTTGAAGTGGATGTGGAGCATTCTGATTTACAATAAGAAACAAGCAAAAAACACAAAGTGAATTACTTTAGGTATCTCATTAGGTTTGAGAAGGGACAACATCCTGTGCTATCATTGGGACCTGGTCCCCAGGCTTCCCCTCCCCTACAAGATAGCCTCATGGAAAATGATGTAGTAGTGTTGGCATAGAACCTATCCTTATCTCCCATTTACTTTAAATTACCCCTTAGTTACTTTTAATACTTAATAGTAAAAAAAGTTGTGGTGTTATATCATTAGGGAATAATTACAAGAAAAGAAGTCTATATATAGTTAGTATAGACCGGTGCTTGGTTGAATATTAGCTATAGAATTGTGGTATGTATATGGCTAACTGCTATTAGATTTTTTTTTAATGCATATAGGCAGCTTGCCTGGATGTCCACGCACCATGTACATGCCTGGTATCTACAGAGGCCAGCGAGGGCCTCAGATCCCTTGGATCTGGAGTTATGGACATTTGTGAGCCTCCATGTGTGTATGAAGAATTGAACCCTAATCCTCTAGAAGAGCAGCAAGTGCTCAGAATGGAGAAGCCATTTCTCTTGACCCGGTGGTTAGAGTTTGAGGGAACACTTGGCGAGCTGTTCCGGGTCGAGAGGTGTTTATCTCTGCATTGGAAAATAAGTACTTCAGGCAGACTGTTTAGCAGTGATCCTTTGTTTCATGTTTGATATTTCTAAGTGTCTGATGTATTTTAAACGTAACACAGGATTAGGGATTGGAGGGGTGGCTCAGTGCTTCGTGCTCCTAGGGGACCTGAGTTTGGTTCCTAGCACCCATGGCAGGTAACTCACAACCACCTTTAACTTCAACTGCAAGAGATCCAAAACCCTCCTTTTGCTTCTACAGGCATACACATAAGTAACACACACACACACACACACACACACACACACACACACACACACACACACTCACTCACAAGTTAAAGATAACAAAATATTTTTTTTAAAAAAACAGCACAGGATTTATGAATTGTGTTGTAGTCTTACTGTGGACAAGTTTTATACACACAGGAAGGAGTAAAGTTGGCACTAGCCCACCGCCCAGATTTTAGTAGTAATCAACTCCTGGCCACGTTTGTTCCGTCAGCGCCTCCATCCGTTTCCTGGCTGTCAGTATGACATCACAATATTTGACCCGTTTTGACTTACAGACACAATTTCTGATAGTGGTCAAAATACTTGGAAGCAAATTTCAAATATGTTGTTTCTTGCCTAAATATTTTACTATATATATATATATATATCTTTAAGAGTACTCTTCAGCTGATGAATATGACAGTGATTCCTCAGTATTATTAAATATCTAGGCAGTGCTCAGGGTTCCAGTTTTGTCAGAAATGTTATTACAGCTTCTGTATAATTTTTTTTTATTAACCTCAATGAAGATCCATATTAAGGGCTGGGTATGGTAGGGAGCGCTTATCTATAATCCTTGAATTTAAGGACTAATCAGGGAGCTCTTGAAGATGAGGCTGTCCTGGACCATATCATGGGGAAATTTTGTTTCAGAAGAGAGGAGGAAATTGATATGAGAACCATGTGGTTATATATATATATATATATATGTATGTATGTATGTATGTATGTATATGTATATGTATATGTATATATGTATGTATGTATGTATGTATGAAGACCTTTCTTTCTTTCTTCCTTTGCTTGCTTGCTTGGTTTGTCTTTGAGACATGGTCTCACTGTGCAGCCTGGCCAGGCTCCAGATTTCCGGTAGTTCTCTTCCCTCGGCCTCTCCAGTCCTGGGATTGCAGACTGGAGCCAACACACCCGGCCTGAGTGGTTTTGTTTTTAATCTCTGGGTTTTCCTACATCTCCTTCTATATGAAAAAGATGACTTTCTCCCTGTGATTATAAAAAGCCAGTGACTAGCTATATTGTTTTTCATTGTGCCATTTCTTTAGACCCACAGTTTGAGCATCTTGTTCAGTAAGAGATGCATAACTTTTTCTCTCCCCACAAATAGATAGTTTGAGGAATTTGCTGCAATCTTAGGTGTGATTGTATCATATTTACTGTTTTCACAGTATTCAGTGACTCTCACGTAGAACAAAAAATTTGTATTTGATAGTTGAGTGGATACATAAACATTGATTGAAGAAACACATAAGTAAAGTATGTGTGATGGGAGTCAGGGGCTTTATATTAGGGTACCGATTTGATTTCATAATTGTAGTTGGAAAACTGACAGCAGAACAACGTCTACTTTTCAATATATTTTGCCCACATGTAACCACTCTATTCCCTTTGATATAAAATACCAACGAACCTATGGTAGATCATTATATTATGTCTGTTTAAGATAGGAAAACTGCTCCCTGAAACTGGGGCCCAGAGTCAAAGTTAAGACATGTAGTAATTCAGGACTGTGGGAACGTGAGGAAACCTGAGTCCTCAGTAAAGAGTACCTTCAGTTACATCAGCCTTGTGGGGCTCGTCTTTTGTGGGGCCTCTAAAATGAGCAAGCTGTGGAAGGCACAGCCCTGGGCTGGGCTCAGCCATGTTGAACCAGGAACTGAGAGGCCTTAGGTGCAGCCATGTGGGTGAAGCTTCTGCTTCGCCGCAAATGTTGTGAAATCCTTGTGTAACAAAGATATGATTAACACTGTCTTCCTCAAGGGACATCGCTCCTGCAGCGGAGGCTTGATGAATCATACATAGTGCAGCCTGACCTTTGGATGTAGATCTTTTTTTTGCCTATGTCTTGCAGTGTTACAGTGGAACAGGAATAAAGCCAGTGGGCTTCCCCGATTCTTGCATGACTTAGGGTCCCTGCAGAACGTTTCCAGAGTTAACTCCATGATTGCTCTGGGATCATATAGCCAAAGATTTTCTTTAATAACTATTAATAGTTTACTTTTTTGTGTGTTATTTTTGCAAGTCAAAATACGTAAACTTTGCTGTGCTTGGTGGCACATGCCTATCATCCCAGAACTTGGGGTGTGGAGGTAGAAGGACCAGGAGTTTTAAGGTAAGCCTCAGCCACATAGCTTGAGGCCAGCCTGTGCTACATGAGAACCTGTCTCAAAAAATAAAACAAACCCTGTCAAAACAACCACGAAACTAACAGAATACCTAAGCTGAATTCTTCAGTTGTATGCCAATGCGTGAGTGGCTGGACGAGCTAGAGGCCTTCTGAGAAAACTGTCTGTGTACCTAGAACTGCAATAACTTACAGCTGTTGAAGCAAGCTCTTCCCAGTCTTCAATTCAAGCTAAAGTTTTAAGTAGCAAACAATATTTAGGGCATGCTAGTCAAGTACTTGAAGTTTTTTTTCCTGGGCCACAGACATGTTGGTTGTAGGCTCTTCCTTGGCCCACAAAATAGTTTCTCCAAGATTTGTGGCTCTATACGGGGAAGTGGAGGTTAGCAGAGAAGCTGTCAGAATTAAAACGGAGTCAGGCTGGGAGCGGCAGTGTCTTCCTGTCATTCCCCACTTACAAAGCTGAAGCAGGAGGATATTAAATTTGAGGCCAGCCTGAGCTTCATGATAAGCCCCTTTCTCAAACCAAGATGGATGGAGTTCCTTATGCCAAGTCAAGGGATTAGAAAAAAGTGCTTCTTATGAACACATACCTGACACTGACTAAATCTATTCTAGCCTTCATTCCTGTCCGCATTCTGGTTATTCATTCAGACACAGACACCTCCGGATTGAGGACTTAAAACAAACTGGTGGCTTGTAACTGGCCTGGCAGAAGTGAAGGTATTCTGAAGAGACTGCCAGGCTACTAAAACAGGGAACCCCAAAGAAATGGGAAATTTCCCAGAAATCTCATGATGGGAGAAGGAAAAGGCCCCATCCAAGTGGGAAACTTATCTCCCAATGAGATTTCACACAGTCCTAATAATTTGTTAGACCACCTTGTCATACTGAACTTTGGGGTCACAGCCTGTTCTCTAAGCCATGTTTGGTCACCCATCCTCAATAAACCAATTAAAAGAGCCAAATTAACAGTAGGAAGCAAAAAAATGGAGATTTTTTTTAAAAGATATTACCACACTGGGAAGAAAAAGAGGAAGATCAAGTAAACCCCTCAAGTCTGTCTTTGGGGTCGTGAAAGGCAGTTCAAGTTTAAACAGAGGCAGAGAACATGAACGTCTTCACAGTCCTGGGCTT